TTCATAAAAAATGTTGCGTTTTTGGTTGGATTACTTTAACTATTTATATATATATATTTTCTTTTATTTTATTAGTAAAATGCATTTTAGTTTTTTCTTCATAATTAAGCATAATCAGTAAATTCAACCGTTTCAACCAAAACTTCATAAGTTTGAGCAGAATTAGTTAATTCAGCCAATTTCGATACTACCAAATAGGCTCTAAAAGTTATACTAATAATAATAAAGATTATAGGCTGAATGATAAAAGAGTTTAGGCTGAATTGCTTGTCTAATTCACTGATTTTAAGCCCTATTTATACAACTAGGAGGAGAGCATATAAGGTATGCTATTTACTAATTACAATCATTGTTCTAAAAGTCGTTTCAGGCGTCTGACTCTCCGCCTAGGTGTTAGGTGATGGCTGGACGACATGATTTTACTCTAAACGCTTCGACTAATTGGTTTGGCGCCTAGGTGAATTAGTTAGCTGCCAATGATGTCTAATGGGTCGTCTAGGGCGTTTAATTGGCCGCCTAGGACGTCAAGATTCACCGAACATTTCTCTCTCTCTCTCTCTCTCTCTCTAAGAAATTTGTATCTTTAACAACACGTATGAAGAAAGCTACTAGTTGTATAGATTAAGATAAAACTATAGATGTTTGTGTATACTCTTCAATGTTGTTATTGTCGAATAATATTTATTACATAATGAAGTTATGTGAGTGTGTATAATATTATTAATGTGAAAACTCTTTCATTCATGCATATTAATGTGCATGTGTACACACACACATACACACACAACATTATTAATCATATTTACGCAAAAACATCGATAAACTATAAGTTTTATGGCTCTGACTAGTCCCCGCCTAGGCGCTAGGCTGGCGCCCGACTAGCGCCTAGCGCCTTTTAGAACATTAATTACAATTAATATAATCCAACGGTTGTAATTGAAATGTGCATCAATAAGAATAATAACAGATATGGTTATTTATCTTCCATACCCCTCGCAAGCTAGGTATTCGGGCACCTTTGAGAATCAGGGAGTTTGATTTTGAAAATAACAAAGTGTGGTCGCAGAAGTGGTTTGGTAAGAACATTGCCTCGTTGATTAGGAAGTCAATAGCAACATGTTTCATTCTCGAATGGAAAACAAGATTTGATGAAGACATAGTTGCACTTTTTTTATCACAAAGAGTCAGTAGGGAAATTATCAAATGTCGTAGCTCTGAAAAAGTGATCTGATCCAAATAATTCATCCGACCACTTGACAATAAAGGGTGATGTCACAAGAGCTCAAACTATCAAAGAAGCTGAGGAGGCCAATGCCATGGGTACTAGATCAACATCACTCATTTTCAATTTGTGTAGTGAATTTTGTACCACAAACAAGGTTCCTATTTTAAACCATAAATGAATTTTGGCCTTTTTATTCCAATATTACTAAAAATAGGATAAAATACAAAAAAGTGATTTGTTTTTTAAAATTCTAAAAATGTGACCAACATCACAATTAACCCTGCAGTGCAAAGTGACTATGAGCAAAGTGACTCCGATCAAAGTGACCCCATCGACCACAGTGACTGCCCCGACGACCACAGTGACTGCCCCGCCGGTTACAATGACTGCCCTGCCGCCACAGTGACTGCCGCGTCGTCACAGTGACTTCCCGAACACCAACCATAGTGACTACCCATCCACCTATAAAAATGACTGCCCGCCCCCAACTCCATCACCACTGTCCATGCCGGAAACCACCACCTCCCACCGTCGCCTGCCGCCAATCCCAGCCCCTCTCCTACACCAACCCCAACCCAGCACCTCTCCTACACCAGCCCCAACCCATCCCCTCCCATGCGTCATCCAGCCGGCTCGGTTGTGTCAACCGCCTAGCCACCCCCGGTCGCCGCCGACACGGCCAGTGACCAGCACTTCCCCCAACCTGTGATTGCCCAATAAGCCACCACCAACCCTCACCATGACGTTGCCATCCCTACCACGACCCCACCAAGCCTATCACTACTGTAACCTAACCCTAGACGTCGTCGCGGATCTAGATCTGGACAATGGATGGATCTGTACGGTTGAAACTGTTGGCGTAGGTAGAGCCGACGACAATGGAAGAACACGACGATGCAACGATGTGCTCCAGTCACGCGAAGGACGACGGAGAGGCAACAACGTCGAGCGAAGGTTGCCGTTGACGAAGGTCGTTCACATCGACGCAGTCAGACGGATCTCCCTTCCCAGCGATGCAAATGACTTGCGATGCAGGCGGCCGGATTGTCGCGACGCAGACAGCTAGATTCTCCATTCCAAGTGGCGGCATAGATTTGAAGAGAAGCACAGTCTCAGACGCAGAGAACAAGAAATGGAGGAGGGCTGCGCGTGGAGATGGGAGTTGCGATGAAAGAAGGTTGCGATAGCCGATAGGGAATGTGCTGGTACGGAAGAGTCCAAGTCATATTTTTGGAAAAAGTTAAATAAGTCATATTTTTTGAAATGGAAAGCTAATTAGTAATATTGAGGCAATTATTTCATGAATTTTCGAAGGCGACACACAAATCCAGAACCATCATTCAACATAGGCGGCTTCTTCATCTGCACTTCCTCTTGAAGAGCCCTATGGAAGAACACATTATTGACATTCAACTGATTGATTGGCCAACCTTGAGAGAGGACAATAGTCCGAACGACCCTAATAACCTGTGACCCAGACCAAAACCCAGTTCGATTAGCTAAAAACTCGAAGTTGCCAAAACCGGGAAAAACCTGTTTGACATGGGAAAACCCGGTCCAACCCGAACCCAAAAAACCCAGAAACCCGGGGAAACCCGGTTTTCCAAAATCATTTTACATTTTTTTTTTATTCTTAAGAAATTTTCAACCCATAAAAAGAAAAAAAATATGTAAATATTTACTTAAGAATGAAAATCATTATAACGTAAAATTCAAATAACAAATATCCTTATATATTTTAATAGGATCAAAGTTATATTTTTGAATATTATGAGTCTTTTAAATGCTTACTGGGAGGTCTCAAGTTCGAATCCATGCTAGAAATCGGATCGAGAAGGGATTCAAGCATTCCAACCCAGCTGCTTGTGAGGTTACCGTGCCTAGTAGGAGGTCTCGAGTGCGAAACCCACTAGGCACATAAGGGTTCGAAACTTAATGGAGTGAGTTTCAGCCCTGATTACTCCATGCCCCCTCAGCTCTCCTCCCCCAGACCCTCTCTGGAGTAAAAAAAACGATTAATAAGTATTATCATTAGTTGATTATTCTGACTAATAACTACCTTTTATTACTCGGTATAATTTTGTACTCCGTATATAATTATATGTTTATTATTATATAGTTGTGTAATTATTGACTGAGTTTTCGGCATTGACCGGGTTGACCGACCGGGTCCGGGTTGACCCACGACCCGGTCATATGAAAAAATATTTTTGTGCTCCCGTCCCAAAATGATCTTCTCATTTCCCTAAATGGAAAGTTATCCTGCATCAAAACAGTGTCAAACAGTGCAAAACAGTGCCAAACAGTGTACTCTACAGTAAAGTCAAATTTATTTACTAAATATGTGTGTAAGTCAAAGTAGGAAGTTCTTAGCGGGACAGAAGTAGTATAAAATATTTTACTGCTCACCCTCCATGTAAAGTATTTACATGGTATAATGTGAAATACTATGTATATATTGTGTTTTAAAAGTGTCTTACATAATAATACTCCCTCCGTTCTTTTTTATTAGTCCTTCTTTCCTTTTTGGGACATTTTTTTATCTGTCCTCCTTTCTATTTAAGGAAAGTTTTTACTCTAAATATACCTTTATACCCCAACTTTTATTACCATTACCTCTTTCTCTTTCCTACTTTTTCATTTACCCACTACTCATTACACCTTTTACACTACCTCTACTACTTTCCTCTTAAAATCCGTCCCGAAGCCTAAGAGGACTAATATATAAGAACGGAGGTAGTATATTGTAAGTAATAAGTCAAACTATATAATTTCGTGCATGCAAAGTAATTATTTTACATTTTGAAATGCAAAATAATTATTTTACTCCCTCCGCCTCAAAATGGTTGGTCAAATTTCCTTTTATGACCGTCCCAAAAAGGTTTGTCATTTCCATTTAAAGTAAGGAATATGTGGCTAAAGTTAATTCTCTATCCTCTGCACAAATTTCAACCACACAGCTTTTACTTTGTTAATCCACGAAGTCAACATTGGTCATCCATTTTGGGACGGAGGGAGTACAATGGAAAATTCTTGGTGTACACCCTAATTATTTGCCACTCACACAGATATAAAATGCACAAATACAGACACTTTTGGTAAAACTGTCGGTGTGAAGAAAATTAGTTTTCAGATATGTCAGGCTGGTTGCACGGAAACCAATGTCGGTGTACACAGACACTTGTTGTCGGTGTATACAGAAACTAGTTGTCGGTGTAGACAAAAAAGTGTCGGTGTGAACAAATTTGGTTTGCAAGTCTGTCAGGGGGTTGGAAAACCAGTGTTGGTGTACACAGACATTAGTTGTCTGTGTAGAAAAAGTGTCTGTACATGTACAATTTTCGTCTGTGTGCACACCAACACATGTGCAAACCAGTGTTGGTGTGCATAAAACGAAAATTGTACATGTACAAATATTTTTTCTACACAGACAACTAATGTTGGTTTACATTGACACCAGTTTTCCAACCCTGTGGCAGACTTGCAAACCCAATTTGTTCACACCAGCACTTTTTTGTCTACACCAACAACTAGTGTCTGTGCACACCAACATTAGTTTCCGTGCAACCAGTCTGACAGATCTGAAAACTAATTTTCTTCACACCGACAGTTTTACCGAAAATGTGGATGTTTGTGCGCTTTTTGTCTATGTGAATGACAAATAATTAGGGTGTACCCTGTGTGTAACCTAGTGTGTACACCAACAATTATTCGAGTACAATTTATCAAATGCCATGGATTATTGTCCGATCACCTTATCTCTTATCTACTTGTAGCATCCACAGTCTACCTCGCCACAAACGCACCAATCGCGATTCAAAGCCGTCTTGTTTTTCACGATTTATGGAACCTGCAGAGCTAGCTAACTACGCGGAGCAATGGCGGGAGCTTCAGAGCAGGGCCTTATCAACTCCGTCGCACGGAGGATGGCGTCCATTGCAAACCACCTCTCTCCGGCGCAACCAAGTCCGTCCTCTCCTCCTTCAATTCGCTCCTCGAGTTGCAGCTCTTCCATGAACGATAGCTACCACAAAGTTCACGGCGAAGTCCCCAGTCACGGGCCCGTTTGGAGATTGGCTCCTTCGGATGAGTCTGGCAAAGAATTCACTGATATCATCTACGAGAAGGCAGTCGGGGAAGCCATTGCTAAGGTATATTGTGCTCTCTTTTTCAAATGTGCCGTTTTATTCCTTCTCAATTTTCGAATTGCGAAAGCTAAAATGGCAGTCAAGTATTGGGTGTTGCATTGTGTCTTACAAAATTTTTAATTTTTTGTTAGGAACCTAACCAGAAAGTTTTTGAGTTTCGTACAAAGAAAGTAGTTAAGTTGTTCATAAGACTTTATTGGCGCAAATTTAAATGTGGGGTTCCCTTATTTTCTTTTAGACTTGTAATCATATTATTGAAATAATTACATATTTATATATTTATGATTAAAATAAAGATTGATTAATCTTTACACTTAAGTGACCATGACACTATACTATAATAACTATTTATCATAGTTTTGAAAAAATTTGTATATTATTTCCGTGGTTGTTTCCTTTCTAGGTTTGCTTTATAATATTGTAATTATATTATAAGAAATAATATTGATATCAGTTTTATTGCTGGTTAGATAGGAAGCGTCAGAGAGAGAGTTATATGTCTTCCGACTTCCGTACTCTTTTAGTTGCAACACTTCCATTTTCACGTTTTTCACAACACAACTTTGATGATGAATGTATTTAATTCTCTATCAGTAAAAAAAATTAAAGATCATATTTTGAAGATTTAACATGAGAAGAATTTAATACTATGTAAATTTTTTCAAAATTAAATTTCAAATGCATTAGTAAAGAAAATGTAGTCAAAGTAGAGCACATGAATATTGTAATATTAAACATGTTGCAATTATTTAAGAATGGAGATGGTATTTGTTATGGTGAACATCGGATTGCTTATAAAGTAATCTGATTGTGTTATGACCTTACAGGGTTTTCCTATGTCCATGATGTTAGTAAAACAAACTAGTGGAAAAAAATAAACCATATGACCACTATTGTACTTTAAACTATACCATTATGGTTACTACTTACTACAGTCGCCACAAAAGTCAGTTTTGTAAATATTTTATGCTCCTTATAGTCATATATTTGTCTTTATATAAATGAGAGTTTTTGTGCAATGGTAAAGGTGCTGTTGTGTGACCGATAGGTCACGAGTTAAAGTCTTTGGAGTGACCTATTGTGGTCGGACCCTTCCCCAAACTCTCACTTTGAGGGGATGTCAGTATGCACCGGGATTCCCTTTATTTGTCATTATTTCTTGTATTATGTACGTGCCTTTTTTTTCCTCCACAGATTACCATTAATAGACCAGAAAGGAGAAATGCTTTCAGGCCTCACACGATCAAGGAACTTATTCGTGCATTTAATGATGCCAGGGATGATGGTTCTGTGGGGGTCGTCATCCTCACAGGGAAGGTAACTCCATAGGTCAACCAAGCATTGATATCTCATAGGTCTTTGATCGATGATTCGCCGGTTAAATATTTCATGAGTCCTCCAGTTTGTTACTTTTAAAAGCTGTGTATAAGTGTATCACTAATGAACTTGTCATTTATTGTTATATTTTCCTTTATGCAGGGGACTAAAGCCTTCTGCAGTGGCGGTGATCAGGCATTAAGAAATAAGGATGGCTATGCTGATTATGAAAATTTTGGCCGTCTCAATGTTTTGGATTTACAGGTGAAACTTCAGGGCTTTATATTGATTGCTGGAGTAGTATTGAAACTGTGTCCTCAGTCCTTACTGCATGGTGCTTACTGTTTGCACAAATCACAATGCACTGCTTTGTTACCCTTGGCTACATCTATACTAGAATATTGTAGAATTGCCCATTTATTTCCTGAAATCAACACTCTTTAATTGTTAAAACTAAAGTTTAGCACAAGCAAACAGAGGCAATATTTTAAACCATGAATTTTGATTTATACAATCTCTCTGCCTCCTTTTTAAAAAGATTTCTGTAATGCTAATTGACAAGTAGTTTTAGTCAATTACTCCAACAATCTTGGAAATATGTTTTAAGAATATTAACTCAAATAATACTCTTTTTCGATCGAATTGAGGACATAAGAAACTATTTACTAGTAAAATTGACCGATCATTCATAACTTGTCAAAGCTTGTAATTTGATTGAGTTGAGTAAAATACAAAGTTGTACCGTACTCATACAAGGCCCTTTTTAGATGGAGGGAGCCATTAGTAACCCATATTCCAATACAGTACTGATATTTTGTGGTTGTGCCTAGCATGAGATGTTTTCTGATTGTGTTCACAACGTTGTTGTTTGGCTATTTGAACCTAGAAGAGTAAAATTTGGTCTAAAAGCTTTGCATTGTAGCTGGTTTCATGTTTTCAGCACCTGATTCATGACTTCATTTTGACATAGGATTTTTGGATCTTATTTACCCTTGTTTACATCAAATTGCAGGTTCAGATTCGTCGACTACCAAAACCAGTAATTGCGATGGTAATATGTTTACTTGTATATTAGTTGAGAAGATTCTAAGCCTTATTTTAGGCTACTATTTGTGAGATTATGAGATTAACCATGGTAACACACTCTTTGTCTTCTCCAAAAAAGGTTGCAGGTTATGCTGTTGGGGGAGGAAACGTGTTGCACATGGTTTGTGATCTCACAATTGCAGCCGATAATGCTATATTTGGTCAGACCGGACCAAAGGTCTGCTCACACGTTCCACCGTATTGTACATGTTATGTTACTTCCACCATTGAAGTCTCATCATTGCCCAAGTCCCATCTTATGCCTTATGTTGGGGTCCTTGACATGAAATTTAGTGTCAAATGCTAATCAGTTCACTTAAAACTCATTTTTAAAAGCATGGCGACAAAATTTATATCGGATGTTTTCACGGCCTTCTCACATGGGAATAATCAGATGAAATGTTCAAAAAGTTTGTAAACACTGTTCTTTTTTTTATGCATTGCAGGTAGGGAGCTTTGATGCTGGCTATGGGAGTTCCATTATGTCCCGTTTGGTGAGATTTGAATAGAATATGCTAGGTTTTCACTGTTTCTTTTCATTAAGGCTATGTTTGGAACTCGATAAATGGTTGGTAAAGGAAACAAATACAAAGTAAAATGATTTTCTTAATGTTTAGTTTTTGCCCCTAAGATAAATTAAGGAAAATCCGTTTTAATTAAAATTAGTTTACATGTGCATAGCTTTCGCTGTATTTTCTTTCTGTCCGAACTTACCATCTATTTCCCTTCATATTTTTTGGGCCGTATCATTTTCCGAGTTCAAAACAGGCCTAAAAACGACTGTGAACATTAAATTAAGTCTCCTGCTCTTTTAAGTCGAAGATGGCAACTGCTTTTGAAGCTGTCATATTTACTCAGTTGGTTGGACAGGTTGGCCCAAAGAAGGCTCGTGAGATGTGGTTTTTGACAAGGTTTTATACGTCTACTGAAGCGGAGAAAATGGGACTTGTAAACACTGTTGTGCCGGTAAGTTGATCCATATTTAAAACAGAAACATGCCATTATAGCAACCTTAGAATGTGGTCAAAGATATCAGGAACACAATTTTTGCAGCAACACTTCCAGTAGAAGAAGCAGAGCGTTTGGACTTTGCACTCAAGTTGCTTTGTTCAATAAACTCATGCATTATGTGGTTGTCTTTCATCAGTTAGATAAGCTGGAACAAGAAACTATAAAATGGTGTCGTGAGATGCTAAGAAATAGTCCTACTGCTATTCGGGTCCTTAAATCAGCTCTCAACGCTGTCGATGATGGACATGCTGGACTTCAGGTATCCCTTCTATTTGGAGAAAGTCTTCATTAGACGGTCAGACCTGGTCCATATGGATCACAAGCTTCACCTTTTTAGAGGATATAACATGCAATAGATGAGGTATAAAGGCTCGATACTTGTGGTCCACATGAATTAGGTTCATGTGAGATTTGTCCTTCTATTTAAACCCTGCCACTAGTTTAAAATATTATCGTTTTTACGCGGTCCATTTTCCCTGTCAGAACAATAGTTATTACTCCGTATATGTATTAGTTTAAATAATGTTTGACCCATAAAAACTGAAAAACAAAACTGATCAGTGTATAAAAAGTCATTAGCCAAAGGAATGCATAGAATCTTAGGAAAATGTTCTGTTTTTGCAAGTCTCACACCAAACATTGGAAAAAGCAGAAATCCTAACCGTCAATCTAGCGAAGCTTTAGTATATCACTGGATGCATGTGAAATGGGAATGGGTCAATGTAGTTAACTCTTTATGGATCTCATTCAGGGGCTAGGAGGAGATGCAACACTACTATTTTATGGAACTGATGAAGGCAACGAGGGAAAAAATGCCTATGTGCAACGCAGAAGACCCGATTTCTCTAAATTTCCAAGATTACCTTAGCATTGTATATTACAGAGTATCTACATTCTCAGTAGTTCCGGGTTTAATTCATCATTTGTTGAAAAGAAATGTTGGTTACTGATTATTATTACCACTGAAATAAAGGTTATTTACAAAAAATGTAACATAAGTTTATTGACTATAGTATTAACTTTCAAATAAGCCGTTGTACTTTATCAAAAACAGAAAAATCCTTGTACTTTCAAAAACCCCAATCACCCCCCAAAAGTTGTAAAAAAACACCCAATTCCTCTATTTTAAAGGTTACTCTCCGGTTTCTCAGGTCATTTAGGATGACATGAATATATTTGTCCATTCACCTGCATTGTTGTTGCTGACCAGATATTCACTAATTTTTTATTTTCTTTTCCTCGACATATTTTGCTTCTTCAGAGTTTTAGGCATCCACTTTCTCTCCTTTCAGTCCCATGTTTCAATTATAAAAGTATAAAAGACAAGAAAGATAAATTGATTAATACTGAGGTCATTGATGGGGATGGTGGCTGTTAGCTCCTTCACTCCTTGCCCTCCTAGCTTTCTCTTCCCAATGAACATCGTTAAAGTAGAAGAAATTGTGCTGCCAGATGCCACTAATCCAATCCATAGTTCCTGAAAATCAAAACTGGCGGAGAAACCGAGCATAGTGCCAACTGCCAACTGCCACAGCAATACAGCATTCCTATGAGGTGAAAACAACTCGAGCTTATATTTTGGGAAAAATACCCGTATATTACCAAAACTAGGTAAAATTCTTAATCTATGACCTGGCATCTTTTTAGTCGGCCGTATGACCAAAAATAGAGGGGAAAAAAACGGCCATCGATAATGGCATTATTCAAGTACGAAAATACCCCTCAAAAGGAAACAAGCGTGCATTAATAAAATACAAATTGAAAAGCAAACGTTTTCATCGGACTGGGAAAATTTCGGCGGGGCCAGTTTTTTCAGACTTTGAATTATGGAAGGACTTCAATGCTAAACGAGTGCCTGCAATCGATAGAGTAGACGAAGGAAGACGAACGAAGAGGAACGATGGTGAGGAAAAAGGGAAACTCGCGAAGAAAAAGCGATGAATTGGAGTATGAAATTGTCAACATCAATGGCGTCGTGAGTTTTTTTCACTTTTGTTTTTTGTTCGCGAAGTGATTATATATTCATGCTTCAATAATGCAGTTTTTGAACGAAGATTTCTGTTAGTGAAATCAATATATATATATGCGAATTAAATGCATGCATTGATGTCGTTTGAAAATGAGTGTATATTATTGTTGTTGTTTAGTTCGTGTATTGATAGGTGTATGAGGGCTTAAAGTGAGCGTTGGTTGAGTAATTTCGAAATACAGATTGAAATATGACTTTCACTACTCTTAATCTAAATTTTGGTTGTTTAAATTTTCTAATTGAGCAATTGTGTGCATTGAAATGTAGAAATTATTGCACATAGTGTTTGTTTTATACAGATAGATTAGACTAAATGTGTGTATTTGTTGAATGTATTTTGGTATGCAATATTTTTAATATTTAGTTAGTACTCTTATCTGTGCAGTGAATTAGATTGAATTGAATGTGTGATTTGAATCATTGTAGATTTTTGCATGTCTTATATTGTTGTTGTTTAATGTGAGTATTGTTTCCTGTAAGAGGGGTTGAAGTCTGTGTAGTTAAGTCATTTGGAAATATGGTTTTTACTGCATGTATTGAAGTTTTGGTTGTTGAAATTGCAAATTGAGCTAATTAAATTTGTGCATTGAGGATTTGGAAAACTTCTATAAGTAAATTTGTGCAAATATTACTTGTTTTAGTGTGATATATCATTGCACATACTGTTAGCATGTGGTCATGTATGCCATGTTTGTTATTTCTTAGAGCAACCAATTTTAAGATTTTTTTAGGGAAGGTAGTATGAGTGCTGTGACTTGGAGTAATTAACTTGTATTTATGTATTGTATTAGGCATATAAGCGCTATTGTAATGCCGAAGTTCTGGAGGCAAGAGACGACATGAGAGTTAGTAGTTTCTGCAATCCAGTGAAGGCTGTTGAAAGTATTAAGAGTGTATTGACTGAAGATGAAGTGAAACAGTTTAGGGAGACCGTTTTTGGGTACATGTTAGATGTAGGAAATCTGAAATGGTTAAATGCACAGTTGATTTCATTGCTGATAGGTAATCATGTTGCACCTGTAGAAGAGATGACTATTAAGAATGAAATTCAGTTTCAAATTGGAGAAAGACTAGTTAGAATGAAGAAAAAAGACCTGGCCTTGATAACTGGTTTTGAGTTTGGCAGAAACATACCAACTATGAGTACTCGTTGTGATGGGGAACTGTGGAGGAAGTACTTTACTGGAAAGACGAGTGTTGACCGAGGAGACCTACGGCAAGCATTTGAATCCATCAATAATAGAAGACAAGACATGCAACCATTAGATGCAGTGAAGTTAGGATTGTTGCACGTTCTTGGCAACTACATACTAGGTAACCAGCCATCGCTCAAAGTGCCTACAACTTACATCAACTTGGTAGATGACCTTGATGCATTCAATAAGTTTCCATGGGGTGATATCGTGTGGTCTGATTTGCTTGATAAGGTTCCAAAGTGTGCAGCAATATTGGGAGAGTGAAAGAGCACTAGGGTGACATTCCCTGGATATGTATTTGCCCTGCAAATATGGGGTTTTGAGACTTTTCCAGAACTGACAAGAGCAAGAGTGTGCTTGAAAAGGCATGAAACTTACTGGCCAAGAACATTGAATTGGTCTGTCACATCAAAGCCATCAGCTGTGATTCTTGGGGAGATAATTTTCAATAATCCACAGGTAAAAAATTTAATGATTTCTAATGCATTTTACTGATTATGATGTGTGTTCATTAATTGAAATGAAAATCTGAAATTTGCAGTTTGAATGGGAAGAAATGAAACCAACAGAGGAGGAGTTGGAATAGACATGTGTTGCACATGCTTTGGAGAAAATAAGCACTGAAGAAGCTTCTTCAAAGCCAGTCAAGAAAGCAAGAAAAAAGGCTACAAAGAACAAGTGTAAAGTTCGCAAGGCGAAAGCACAGAGGCGAAATAAGCAAAAGAATGATGTTGATGAGGATGAAGATACATCTGCTGAAGATAGCGAAGGGAACAAAATAAGAGAAAGGGGAGTGAAGAGTATTTTAAGAGAAATGAGAGCACAGGCTGGAAGAATTGAGAAACTAGAGAGGACAATTACCAAACTGTGTGAATTGCAAGTCAAGCATGCAAGCATGATTAGAAAGCTGTTGGTGAATGCAAAGAATGGAAAGGTTGCTCTAACCAGAAGGTTTCCCTTAATCAGGAAAAGAAAAGAAGTCAGGGATGTTGACGTTCCATCATTTGAACTTGCACCAGAGTTCAACAATTGCAGTGAAGACGAAGAAGAAAAGAAAAGTGAAGAGCTACATGAAGCGGAGCAGCACGAGAGTGACAAAGCTGAAGAGAGTGAAGACAGAAATGGAACAAAGGATGATGTGGCAGCATCTGAAGTACAGACAGATTGGGCGGATGGATTTGAGGATCCAATCAATACCCAAGTATTGGTTAATGCAGTTGATGAAATATTGGAAAATATGAATATTAATAAAAAAGTTGACACACCAGAAGGGGCTGAAGCCGTGAATGAAGCCATGGATGTAGTGAATATTGAGAAACCAGTTGCTCAGAACTGTGAAGATCTCCGGAAGAATGATGGGGTATATTTTAATTACATGCAGTTAGAGTTTTCCTATTTTGCTATTGCTATAGTGTAGTGTTATTATTTAATTATTTGGTTTAACACTTTAGGTAGAAAATGTTGAAACAACAGTAGTTGATATGGCAATGGCTGAAAAACCAATTGGGGAGAAATGTGATGATCTCCAAAAGAAGGATAGGGTTGAGGTATATTATTTGTCATAATATGCTGATAATAAATTGAAATTAAATGCATGTAAACTTCTGCAAATTTATTGTATTGGTAGTATTCTGGTTTTATGTTTTAAGTAATTCATATTATAATTTAGATGAATGACGGTGCACTTGAAGACGTTGAGAAAAGGCCAAGGAGAGATACTAAAGCACCAAACAGGCTGTCTTTGTCAGGGAAAAGAAGGAAGAAGGATGCCGCAAGAAATGAGCTAAAAAAGGTAATAGTGAGAGGGCCTCTGACATTAGACCCAAAACAGCAGCCAAGTGATAAGTTACAAGAAATTATAATTGATTTCATGTATGCGGGGCTACTAAGAAATCACGAAAAGTCTGGCGTGAAGAAGTATAATGCAAAACATGAAATGCTGAAATTGAGAAATATGACACCATTGTGGAATGATGGAAGACTGACAAGCAAGTCCTGGTACTACGCCATATGGTTTCAGGGGAATTGGATACAAGACACAGTAAGTATATCTATTTTCTTTATTAATTTTTAAACAATGTTAAAATTGAGTATTAATACTACTTATCATGATTTCATTTATACAGCACATTGATGTCATACTATACTACATGCGGGTCAAAGCACAAGAGTATTCTCTGAAGCAGAAGTTCACAACAACAGATTGTTATTTTACAGCACTGCTGAAACAACACCATGATCTCATTGTGAGGAAAGAAAGCACACTTGAAGAGTCTGTACACAACAAAAGTGTCGTGGGAGCAATACTTGGGACAAATGTGCCTTACGGGCTACCATGGGCAGAGTGTGAGCATGTGTACATGCCGATGAATATTGGGAATCACTGGGTTCTACTTGTGCTTGATGTGGGCGAGAAGCGTATTAGGATTTATGACTCCAATAACCGGCTTAAAACCCCAAGCAGACAATTGAGTCAGTTTTACCATGTTTGGAAAATCATTTAGGACATCTAATGGATTGGTGCAGGGTGTACGAAGAGCGTGGTGAACAGCCAATTGGAGAAGGAAAAGTGGGATGGGTTATGGAATCCAGTCCACAACAAAATGACGGGTAAATGCATTGGCATTGAATTTCTTAAATATATATAGTGTATTGGTACATAACTAACATTGTAAATTTTTTCAAAATTGCAGGGATAGTTGTGGGCTATTTGTTCTCAAAATGGCAGAGTACCTAATGATGGGGAAAGATCCTCATGAAGTGGCGTCTAGGGACATGTGGACTTATAGGAAGAAGCTGGTGGCCGAGATACTGCATTACAATGGGCTGGTTAATCTGGATGGTGTTGAATGAATGTTTAAAACAAATGTCTAATGCTGTGAATGAAACTTATTGGGTGTGGATTTTGGTTTTTGATTAAACTTCTGTATGGATTTACTTTAGCACTTTTGGGTGGATTGGACATAATATTGATGTTTTGAAGTACTGAATATTTTGCATTGAAAAATATGGTTTCTATTAATTGATGCCTAAGTACAGGTTTGATGGTGATGAGCATTAGCTTTTATATGATTCAATGCTATATTTAATGCATTACAGCACAACATACCATCAATGCACGTAATTACGGTATGTTGGCACTCATCTACGTGAATGAAAAAGACAAGCAATGTATATTTCAATACTACGTTTCAATACTATGTGTTTTTGTTTATAAAATGTTTATAGTTTTTCAACAACACAAATGAATAAAGTAACATATGAGTGACTTGTAAAAAGAAGGAAAATATGAAGAAGTGGGAAAAATAACAATTGAGGAATGAGGTTTGTACATGTGTTGGTATTATGAGCAACCATTAAGGAACATGTACATGCATTTGTGTCAGTGTACATGTTCACAGAGATTAAAATATCAATCTAAGTAAACACTTGTAAAGTTATGATTGAATACATAAACACGTAAGTGAGAGTTAACATTTGCATTAATGGTCATCAACGCATAAAGAAACTGCATGTATTACTACAATCCGTAACTTCAAACTTTATTCAAAGTTAGAAATTAGTAGCAGAACATCTGTATCACTTCACACCTGAATACAATTGTGAAGAACTGGGAAAAGTATAAAGCGTAACTCAAGAGTAAAACTAAACAAGTAAAAAATATTCAACATTAGGAACGAGTGCGAGGAATGGGGTTTCGGCACGTCTTCCTATTGTGACCAACCATTGAGCAACGTGTACACTTTTGTTGACGCACATGTTCACCGGTAGATGGAATACGTCTCTTCTTGGGTCTTCCAGGAGGTCTCTTAGAACAAGATGGAGGGCTGCAAATGATTTGTGATACATCAGGGGGAACAACCCAACAATCATAACTACCGATGGGATGAATGATGCCCTCGTAAGCTGAAAACCATTTCTGTGTAGTATAATATTCAGGAATGTAGTCATAAGCAGAAAGTCCCGGACGAGAACGGAGTACAGCAACGGCATGAACACATATGAAGCCATCAAGTTCAAATTCACGGCACGTACAAGTCCCTTCTCTTAAATTGACAACATATGATCTTCCTTTCACATCAAAGACCTCAAATTCAAAGATACATGATGGCTTGACCTACAAAAAAATACAAAGAAAACATAAAACTGGTAACATAAAGCAGAACCTCATCATTTCATACAAAAATAAAAAGCCAAATTGCAGTACAATATCAATGCAGTGAAGTACCTCCATTAATGCAGCATTTGATTGCGATAGCCGTAATTGCGCCTCAAAGTAAGCAGAGAGTCGAGATCTGTTTGATGCAGCTTCTTCTCTGCGTTCACAGAACCATGTTTGCATTGTGCGTACTATAAACTCAATCAACTTGCAGATGGGATACTCACGAGCGGTGACAAAAACAGCATTCAAAGACTCCGCATTGTTAGACATCATCACAGAATAACGGTTGCGGCTAGCATATGCACGAGACCACTTCTCATTACCAATCTTTTGCAAGTACGTACGTATACGCGGGTCATCAAAATCAAGCCTGGAAAGATACTCTTCACATTCATAAACAGAACCCACTCTCGCAGCTTGTAAGAATTTCCAAGACAACACCTTTGTAGTACCTTTAAACTTGGATTTTATATTGCCTAATATGTGATAAACACAATATCCATGTTCCGCATGTGGAAAGACAGAACGAACAGCATTTATAATTCCTTCATGCCGATCAGACACGATATACAAACCATTTCTATGGCCGAGACAATTCTTCAACATGTTGAAAAACCAACTCCAGTTAACGGTATTTTCAACACTGCAAATACCAAATGCAAGTGGAAAAATCTGCTTGTTAGCATCTTGTGTGCAGGCCGTGAGTAGTGTTCCCTTGTAATACGATTTCAAAAACGATCCATCAACAACAATAACTGGAATGCACTTCTCCCATCCACGTCCCCATGGACCAAGAGACATAAAAAAGTTCTGAAATTCTCCAGTTTCATTACAAGAATATGTAACAACCGAATCTGGATTTGCTTTATCAAGCATGTAGCACAAAGATGGAAGTCTACTGTACGACTCCTTCTCAGATCCCCGAGCCAATTTCAATGCAATTTCCCTTGCAAACCAAGCCTTTTTATATGACATGACAATTCCATGCAATCTTTTCATATCTCTCATGATTGAATGAGGTGTGTAAGCTCTTTTGGACAAGTCATCGAATTCATGCTTGATCAGTTCAGCAATAAGAGAAGAAGAAGCCTGGCGACTATTAGCTTGTCTAATATCAATGGGACAGGTATGGTCATTATCAAATCTGAAAATGAAAAAGTACATCATGTAAAGATGCATTAATTGAGATACATAAATTTTGTCCAAATAATTTATTCAGATACAACTAACTCCAAGGAAAATATGAAACTTCAAAAGCCTGGCAAAGTGAAAAAACAACATAACTAAACAATTTTAATACAGAAATAGAAATATAAAAATGATATAATTTAGTGAGTAATTGCAGTGTATAATTTAATGCAGATAGTAACAACAAACTTCATCAAATTATGCAACTTCACATGGATGTTCAAGTTAAAAAGCAACATATAAGGTCTAAATATTTTCATTAGCTGCAGCTTAGAAGTTCAATAACACTGCATTAAATAATGTAATATAAACAGTAAGCAAACAACTTAGGAGAAGATGACTAAAATAAATACATAACAAAAGAAAAGAAATCACTAACCTACGCACTTGAAACAAGCCACTTTCATCCAAGCGAACTCCACGAACAGCCCACAGACAATCAGGATCCACACAAATAACATGTAACACCTTAGGACAAGATGTCTTTGTTCGGTATTGGAAAAAATTAGTTATTGCATACATCTTCAAGTTAAAACTAAACTCCTTCTTGCTTTCATATATTGCGTCCACAGCAAGACGGGTGGGGTCAAAGTGGGGAACAGAAGAACATAGAGGAACGTCAACCGAAGATGTAAAGTCATCATTCATAACATCTTCATCAAAAGACAAAGGGCTGAAATCAGAATCCTCCAAAACATCACTACAGTGCATTGTTTGTTGCCCTGCTGCTGCTAATATTTCAGAATCCTCGAAATCATCCAAAACTTCATCATCCGAAAAATAGTAATTAATCGTGTTTGACACAGTTTCAGTACGTCCTTTCAAATCAAAATAAAAAAATTAAAAATAATACAGATAATTTGAAAACTAAATTCATATAGTTAAATTGCAAGTGAAATATAAAACCAGGGGAGAAATATTTTACTAACCTTGAAACGGTGGAAGGAACTCTACACAAAGAGGAAGTTGGTTCAAGTCCGATTGAATGCTTTTCATCTGAAGATAAAAACTGAAGCTGGAATCGTCATTGATGATAAGCGGTGGAGGACATGCTTGAAACACATATGAAATACGTATAAAACGATCACGATCTCTTAGGCTCAACGAATTGTATACAATTCCACAAAATTCAATCCACTTGCAGCAGAAAGGAATATCAATGGCGATGGAGGTTGAGCTCTGAAATTCAATGTCGGACAACCACTGGCCATCTACGTTCATCAAGACATGTATCGTTGAAGAAGGATTTGGAGAAGAAACGATTTCCATAATCTCTGAAACAGGAAGAACGAATAGAAGAAGCGAAGAATTATTTGAAATTCATCGAAACAAGCTGAAGAGAAGGAAGGTTGAAGACGAGAGGAAATCGGAATGAAAAACGGTTACCTAATTTAGAAGATTGTGAAATAAATTATTAAATAGAATTGGTATAAAGATGCGCTGACCGTAGAGTTGACTGAAGGGTAGCGATGGAATAAAAAAAAATCAGCGGATGGGATACTTTATGATCTAGGATTCGGTAACATAGATTAGGGAAAAAAACTGGGAGGTCATATTTTAAGAAACTTAAGAACTTCTAGTCATACTAGGGACAAATATTTCTTATATTTTCCGGGAGATTTGACCTCTACGTCCTTCTCAATGTGCCACACCAAGTGGTTGGCGTCTGAGCTCGGACAACCTGAAGCGACAATCGGGAAAGAAACCAGTGAGGCAGAAGATGCAGGTTGAAGCAGAGGAAAAGAAGAGAGAATTGGGAATTTATTTATCGTCATGATCATAATAATCATTACGTCAGTGCCGCAAAAGTTCTCATTAAGAGGGTCGGATGTAAGCAGTCTTGTATTAAACCTTGTACTAAAGAACAAGAGATTGTGTTTTATTAAAATGTTAAAATTAAAGTATAAATAAAAACAAAAAAACAAGGCCACTGAGGCACTGACATTACAATTCCATTAGACATTGGCAAATTGGCTAATGGATTTGTGACCAGTCACTGGTGCCTGTTTGGGTGGAGTCTCTATCGGATTTGCCATGACTTATGTATAGTGACTAATGAATTTGCCAACTTAATGTGTTTGGTCATGTGAAGTGTTCTGCGGAGCTGTGTGTGGATTTATAGTTCTCCTTGTATAGAAATAGTGGTGGACTCGGGCCGGTTCGGGCCTGGCCGGGCCTCGGGCCAGGAAAGTTGGGCCCGAGCCCGAACCGCCGGTGGGCGGTTCCGGTTCCGGTTCCGGGCCAAACCGGGCCGGGCCTAACCGGTCCTAATTTTTTTTTGGCTCTTCTATTTAACCCCCAACCCCTCCCCCTCAACCCCAAACCACCTCAAATGGCCCCCAAACCACCCCAAACCACCTCAAATGGCCCAAAATACCTAATCCAACCCAAAACTTAAAAAAAATTCAAAAAAAAAAAAAAAAAAAACCGGCCCGAACCGGGCCCGAACTGGCCGGGTCGGTTCACCAAAAACTGGGCCCGAGCCCGAACCGCCCAGCAGCCGGGCCGGGCCGAACCGAACCGGTGGACCCACCGGGCCCCGGGCCAGGCCGGGCCAAACAGTAACCGGGCCGGGCCGCCCGGCCCGAGTCCACCACTATATAGAAACTTGTTTGGACTCCGATTTTAATAATAATAGTTAATCAGTTTCCCTTTAAAAAAACTTCTGTTTTGACAATTTAACGTTTATTTACTCC